ACGCTGCTGGGGGACCCACGTAAGAGGATGCGCTACTTCGACCCCCTCCGCAATGAGTATTTTTTCGACCGTAACCGTCCCAGCTTTGACGCCATCCTCTACTACTACCAGTCGGGTGGGCGCATCCGGCGACCCGTCAACGTCCCCATCGATATCTTCTCCGAGGAGATCCGCTTCTACCAGCTAGGGGAGGAGGCCATGGAGAAGTTTCGGGAGGACGAGGGTTTCATTCGGGAGGAGCAGCGACCGCTTCCCGACAAGGAGTTTCAGCGCCAAGTGTGGCTCCTCTTCGAGTACCCCGAGAGCTCCGGGCCGGCCCGAGGCATTGCCATCGTCTCTGTCCTGGTCATCCTTATCTCTATCGTCATCTTCTGTCTGGAGACCCTGCCTGAATTCAGGGACGACCACGACTATGAGGGAACTGGAGGGACCTTTGGGACGGGTGGTGGCCCTCTCCCACCTGATGTCTTCACCAACTCCTCATCCTCGGCCACTTCCATGGTGTCGTCCTTCACCGACCCTTTCTTTGTGGTGGAGACTTTGTGCATCATCTGGTTCTCCTTCGAGCTGCTGGTCCGCTTCTTTGCCTGCCCCAGCAAGGCCACCTTCTCCAAGAACATCATGAACATCATTGACATTGTGGCCATCATTCCCTACTTCATCACGCTGGGCACCGAGCTGGCTGAGCGGCAAGGCAACGGCCAGCAAGCCATGTCCTTAGCCATCCTCAGAGTCATCCGGCTGGTGAGGGTCTTCCGTATCTTCAAGCTCTCCCGGCACTCCAAGGGGCTGCAGATCCTGGGGCAGACCCTCAAGGCCAGCATGCGGGAGCTGGGCTTGCTCATCTTCTTCCTCTTCATCGGCGTCATCCTCTTCTCCAGCGCTGTCTACTTTGCAGAAGCCGATGATCCCAGTTCAGGTTTCAGTAGCATCCCCGATGCCTTCTGGTGGGCGGTGGTGACCATGACCACGGTGGGCTACGGGGACATGCACCCCATCACCATTGGGGGTAAGATTGTGGGGTCTCTCTGTGCCATTGCGGGGGTGCTAACCATCGCTCTCCCTGTGCCTGTGATAGTCTCCAATTTCAACTATTTCTACCACCGAGAGACAGAAGGTGAGGAGCAAGCCCAATACATGCACGTCGGGAGCTGCCAGCATCTCTCATCCAGCGAGGAGATGAGGAAGGCTCGCAGCAATTCCACCCTCAGCAAGTCCGAGTACATGGTGATCGAGGAGGGGGGAATCAACCACAGTGCGTTCAAACAGGCTGCCTTTAAGACAGGCAACTGCACAACCACAAACAATCCCAACTGTGTGAACATCAAAAAGATCTTTACGGATGTTTAAAAAAAAACAAAAACCAACAAAACCAAACGAACAACAACAAAATCTGAGGATGCGGTAAAAAACCTAATAATAACAATAATGATGCAAAGTGACTGTGTACTCGGTATTGTGTGGAACATGCACCATCGTCGGTCTGTGTGTGCCCTCGTTTTTATACGTTTATTTTTTTAGATCCTTCCTTTCTAAAGATCAAAAAAAAAAAAAAAAGGATTTAAAATTCTCCGAAGAAGAGGACAGCTAAAGAGAAGGAAGATGAAGACAAAACACACTCACCGTCGAAACAGGTGTTTGTTCTGCAACGTGTTGCAGGGCTGCCTTTGTTTTCTTGGTTTTGGGGACCTTTCGCTTTGCTCCTGAATTTCCCCCCCCTTCCCTAAAGGCAGCGTGTAGCTGATTTCCCTTCCATCGCATAAGCTCACTTGTTGGATTAACAGCCCTGGGTTGGGTGGGGAGAGGAGGAAAACATGTTGCAGAGCGCACTGGAAGGGGGTTGGGAGGAAACAACCATTTAATTTTGCAGAGAGTCTCTGTTACCACATTGTTAAATGACGCTTAATATTGAAACATGTGGTGTGCCATTACGGGCACATCACAGATTCCCTTTTCTCCCCCGTTAGACCATTTATGAAATTCTAATCTGGTCAGAGACTGAGTGCAATCAATGCTGATTTAAATAGGAAAAAAAAAAAAAGCCCCCCAAAAAAGCCCTCGTTTTCTATTCTTAATTCCCTTCCCCTGTAACCCTATGGCATTGTTTCATCCAACGGCAAATTCGTGGCCGTGCAGTGGGTCTGTGTGCGGGGAGGAGGGAGGCGAAAGGCAAAATGGAATGGTTTCAGGAGCCACCGGTGCGCGGGGAGCGATGCCGGCGTGGATCGGGGGATGCAGGATCCGTGACGGGCTCCTCGCCGTGGCTGTGCAGCCTCAAACCCACCCAGCTGGAGACAAAGGGATATTTCCTCCGTGGGGTGTGTTTTTTTTTTTTTGCAATGTGTTTGGGAGAGATGCAGCCGCTTACCGCAAGAAGATTAAAGTGATGAACACGCCTTCCAGCGGAAGTCACTAATTCAGACCAGAGTGATGCAGTTGCCATGGCGACCCTGGTTTCCTGGGAAACCCCCAAAGGTTGTCATGGCATCCCTTCTCCCATCCCCCTTGGTCCTCGCTCTTCCCGCAAAAAACCTTTCCAGATTGTTCCAGCCCCATCATCCCGCAGGACACCATGGCTCTGCCCCACTATGTGACCCCATCCTGGCACCCCCTTCCTGGGCCACGTACCCCCCGCGGCTTCCCCTGTGCTGAATAAAGCGCCCGTAGGCAATAAGCACACCACAAATCCACCTCTCCCTCGCAGAGGAACTCACACCTTGGCAGTGAAATTTGGGGATGGAGCCTCATCCTGCAAACAGGAGCGCCCGCTCTGACGAGAACGACCCCACGCTCCCCCAGCGCCGCACGAAACCCGGCCTTTTCCCCCAACCCGGTGTGAAAAAGGGCGCTGAGCAGCCAGCGGGAAAGCTCGGCTGAGAAACCTCGGCAGCTTTTTGAAACAAGGGGGACAGATCTCGAAAGAGCAGGATTGAAAAGTAACCAAAACCCTGCCAGGGAAAAGACACCGGCTTCATCTTTACGTGTGCACCAGGGGCCACGGGACATCTGATGGGATCAGGTGAGCTTTGCAAGGGTAGAGGTTAAGAGCATCATAAAGTAATGTTGCTTTTTGGGGACAAACCTCGTGTTTTCCACTGCTTAGTTTTATTTTTTCAGCTTACCCTGCTGCTCTCGGGTATTTTTGTGCACGTTAGGTAAAGTGGGATAACATCCTATAGCTTCTCTGCTCGTATTTGCTTTTCACTTTGCTTCTTAGTGCTATGCACAGGAGGAAAAAAACCTACTGCTTTTTTGCAGCTGGGTTTCTTCAGCTCTGTGCTAAAAAGGTTATTTGCAGCGGTTTAATTCTTCGGTCTGACCTCTGCCATCGAAGCAGGCTGAAGGCAGGGACTGGGTGCTCAGCCCCAGGCACCTTGGCTCCAGCTTTGCTTGGTTTTGCTGGGTTTTGGGTGAAATAAAACCAGATTCTTTCGAGGTAGTGTACTGCCCAGGGATGCTGTTAAATACCTGCTATGAGAAAGAGAGATTTGACCCCAACCTGTGCGAGTCACATCTTTCCCAAGTGCGTGGAAAGGGGGATTTGTCCTGAGAGATGCTGACCATGCCGAAATTGGAGTTTAGCTAGGATTTTACCCAGACTTAAAAGGATCAGGACAGTTTGTAACACTCACCGGTAGCCTTGCCTTAGCCCCAGTTGATAAAACACTTCTAACCAAGAAAAACATCAGAACAGCATCCTAAGGGCTGTGACAGCTTTATTGGAGCTACCGTAGTTTTCACTGGCTGAGGATCTAATAAATGATCTTTATCAGGGGGATGCTCTGGAGCATCGTGGGAGGTAACAAACCTGGGATCCCTTGTTTGGGATAACTGGGAACACCCCAGTGTGCCTTGTCCCCAGGCTGCGAGCAAGCTGAGATGGCATTTCTGGCTACGAGCTCTCACTTGTTATTGTTATTAAAGCTTTTCCACATGCCTGTTCCTAAAAGGCAGATTTGAGTTTAAAAGTGGGGGAAACAGTCCCACTCGAGAGAGTTTGCAGATGAGTTTTGTGTCTGTGTTTTTCCTGTGGCAGCTGCACGGGGTAAGGAAACCACATGTTCTCCTGGAAATGGCACAGTACAATTTTCGGTTTCTCTGCCATCTAAAATAAGCTGAAACCTGGCAGGTTGTTAGTTTGCTTTCCTGACTACTCCCTGCCTTATTTTGCAGGGGGCAGAATAATTTCAAATGGATTTTACTGACGGTAAAAGATGCTCTATGGGAGAGGTGGCAAGGAAAGCATTTCATCCACTGGAGTTTTGCTCCAGTACCGAATGGTATCGCTGAAAAATATAAAAGCACTGCTGCTTTGTCTTTAAGATACACCCAGAAAACTGGAAGTGGAAAAACAGGGATATCCTTTCAATGGCCTGCCCCGTTTCTGTCTGCTGCTTCTCTCTGCGCTGTCTCGTTAGGTACCGTTCAGCACCAGCACTGCTTGCTGTTACGGCACGGTCTGACGGCTTCTCTACAACCGACTGCCGCATGTGTTGTGCCAGGAATTGAGAGATCGCTGAAAGATTGCTCTTTTTGCAGCCGACTGCTTATTTAACTTTGCTCTCTTGCAATGTGCCTCCTATTAGGACTTAGGACTGTTATACCAGTCCCCGGGGAGTTAAAGATGAGCCTGAGCCCTCGCAGCGGGTTGGACTCGACTGTTTCTAATGTGCTTAGGGAGGGCAGCGTTAGGAGATGAGAATTAGCGGAGCTGCCTGCCTGCTGTCTGGCAGCCTACTGCAAAGCCTTCCCAAGGCAAGGCGAAGGGCTTGCCTAGGCTCGGCTTATTACATTAAATGGAGGAAAGTGCATTACTGAAAGCTGCTGGCTGACATTTCAAATCACACAGAAAGCAAGCAGGGGAAAGGCAGGGTCCCTGGCGTGCGTGGTAGTCCCTGGCATGGACTCCCCAGCTTGTCATCTGCATGGGCAGCGTGGCAGGGATGCTCTCTCAAATGTTCTCCTCCTCCTCCCCTGTCCTCTGTACCTGTCATCTGAGAGACAAAGTGACACTGCAGGCATCGAAGGATGGGAGCAAGGATGGGAGCAGGCAGCTCCCAGCCCAGGGATGCAGCCCTGGGAGGCTGTAGCTGCCTTCCTGGAGGCTTTAGGTGTTCGCTTTATACAGGGGCACTGGGTGATGCGGAGCCTTGGACAGCCTCCTACCTCCTTTCCCAGGCTCCTTTCCCTTTCCCTCTGCTTGTATTTTAGGACTTATTCCCTTCCCCTGTTTCAGCCCTGGATACCACCTCGAAACACATCCTTGGTACAGGGGGATGCAGGGAACACACAGCAACCCTAGCACTGGCCCCTCCACCTGGTACTTTACCACCATCACCTTTTTCTCCTGCTTATTTGCCCTTTTTTTGTGTGTTTCCAGGCCTGAACTCTTCTGAAAAGGTTCTGTTGTTCTCCAGCACAATAGATGCCCTTCAGATGCTTGGGGTGGCCAGAGGAGCGGAGCAGTATCCATCCCACCCCACATGTGGACACAAACAAGGGCTGGAGATATCTTTTCACTCCAAGAGGGTTAAATTTTTTCCCAGGCAATTGTTCCTGCTCCATCACTTGACAAAAGAAGTCGGGTTTTGTTTTTAAGCCCCAGTTTAAGGACAGTTAAGCGGAGGCAAAGGGCAGACAAGCCGCTCTCCCAGCAGAAGGGAAGGAGCCACCCAGAGCTCATCAGCGGCGAAGGGCAGAGCTGGAGCGCAGGGAAGGGGTCTCTCGCAGCGGTCAGTGTGCGCGGAGAGCGTTCTGCGTGAAATCTGTTTAATTGTGTAGTTTGGAGCCCTCTTCCTGCCAAGCTTTTAAAATATGCATAGCTTGGTGAGAGCATGTGGAGGCTCCCATCGCAGCCTGATGGAAGGCAAGGCCTTTTTAAAATTTTTTTTCCCCCATTTTTAAATGCTTTAACAAGTGATCTGTGGGTAGGCTGCAAGCCTGTGAGTGCAAACACACAAACAGGATTTAAATGCAACTCATTTTTGCCCTTCGGTCTCGATTGCTGCATGTACTGGGAAGAAGAACTCAGCACAGCGGCATCCTCGTGCAAAGGCAGTTGTATGAGTGATGGGTGCAGGGAAATAGGGACTCTCTGGACATATAGGCTGCTGTGGGCAGGGCGATATCCTATAAATTGTCTCCTTCGCTGCTACGGAGCCGGTGCTGCTCTTCTGCAGCCTTCCCTGCTATAGGTCTGCACCCACAGTCTGACCGGGGTGCTTGGCTTGACTTTGGGAGGTGTTGTATAGCTGGAGGATGTGTTAAGGATGGGATGCCGCTGCCTTTCCCTGTTTCCCTGAGTGCTGTTTACGTGGCAGAGGCTGTGCTAATGCAGCACCCACTGGGTC